TTATATTTGGTGCTGAGGATTGAACCCAGGGCCTCACACATGCTAGGTAAGTGCTGTACTACTGAGGCACAACCCCAGCCCTCTTCACTCACTCTTGAGCACCAAAGCCTTTTATATGAAAGAGGTTTCAAATAAATGCATCCAGGAGAGGATGGAGGCTGTTCTGGGGCTCATAGTTAGGAAGGAATAGTTTCTGTGTATGCAAGTATAGGGGCAGAGAGAATTGGGGCACAGGGCAAATGATTCCTAAATTCTCATTGAAAGAAGTCAGAATAGATGTTTCTCAGGGTATTTTTTTTTTGTCTTTTTTTTTTTAATTTCTTTTTTTAATGTTTATTTTTTAGTTCTCGGCAGATACAACATCTTTGTTTGTATGTGGTGCTGAGGATCGAACCCGGGCCGCATGCATGCCAGGCGAGCGCGCTACCGCTTGAGCCACATCCCCAGCCCTTTTTTTTTTTTTTTAAATCTTTCTGCTTCTTCTTCCTCTTCCCCTTCTCCTTCTCTATTCTTTTTCTTCCTCCTCCTCCTCTTTCTCCTCCTCCTCCTTCTTCTTATTCCCCCTTCCTCCTCCTCCTCTCTCTCCTCCTCCTCCTCTTCCTCCTCTTTCTTCTTCATGCATGAACTCAAGGTCTCACACAGGCTAGGCAAATACTCTACCTCTAAGCTACCCTCCTAGCTATTTTTATTTTTTTTATTTTGCCACAGGGATTCTCTAAGTTTCCCAGGCTGGCCTTGAACTTTTGATCCTCCTGCCTCAGGCTCAGAGTAATTGGGATTTCAGGCCTGTACCAGTGGCCCTCTTGTATTCTGTTGGCCTGTTGCAAGTTGATAGTCTTCCCCCTGGGTTCCCTCCCTCCAAGAATGGCCATCCACATGCCTTGTGCCTGCTCATGAAGGAGCCTCCCCAGTTTGCTGTCTACTTGTTCTCAGTCAAGCAGGGCAGGTGAGGGTGGGATGGTGGTGGTTCATGGCACCTTTTAAAATAATTAACCTGGGGCTGGGGTTGTGGCTCAATGGTGGAGCGCTCGCCTAGCATGTATGAGGCACTGGGTTCGATCCTCAGCACCACATAAATGTAAAATAAAGATATTTTGTCCACCTAAAACTTAAATATAAATATTTAAATTAAAAAATTCATCTGATTTAACTAGTAGTTTCCTAATCATTATATCACTGTGTCTGGGAGCCTGATGCTGGTTCTTGACCAAGGTTTTATCTAATATTGCAAAAGTAAAATTCCTATCTCAATAGCCAAGGATCCCAAAGCTCTTTTTCATTCCTACCCTCTCTTTCATCTTATAAATTGATGTTTCATTATTTCAAAATACCTATCCCCTTTTGAGCAGAAGTTCTAAGGATCAATCTACTTTCTCTTCCTGGTACCAAAATTCACAGCTTCCCACCCCTCCATCTATTACTAATATGGCCCTGTCTCATTTCTTCTATTTAAGCCTTTTTATTTGGAAATATTTTTTTAAAGATTTTTTTTTAAAGAGAGAGAGAGAAAGAGAGAGAGAGAGAGAGAGAGAGAGAGAGAGAGAGAGAGAGAGAGAAAATTTTTAATATTTATTTTTTAGTTTTCGGTGGACACACATCTTTATTTTATTCTTATGTGGTGCTGAGGATCGAACTCAGCGCCTCCGCATTCCAGGTAAGCGCACTACCACTTGAGCCACATCCTCAGCCCTGGAAATATTTTAAACTTGTGGAAAAGCTACGAGCATTACAAAGGAAAAAGTGACAGAACTCCAATAGCCATTTGCACAGATTCACTTATCAGTTCTTTTCTTTTTTAAAAAGAAAAGAACTGTTCTGTCTAGATATACATGACAGTAGAATTTTTTTTTTTTTTTTTTTTTTTTGTGTGTGTGTGGTCCTGGTGATTGAACCCAGGGCCTTGTGCATGAGAGACAAGCACCCTACTAACTGAGCTGTATCTCCAGTCCAGCAGAGTGCATTTTGACATATTATACATACATGGAATATTACTTAGGATCCCACTCTTTGGTTGTACATGATATGGAGCTTCACTGGTCATGTATTCATATATATACATGGAAAATTTTCATTCTACTGTTTCATTCATTCTACTGTCTTTCCTATTCCTACCTCCTCCCTTCCTTTCATTCCCTTTGTTTAATCCAGTGGCTTTTATTCTTCCCTCTCCCTCCACATAGTAGAGAGAACATTCAGCCTTTGATTTTTGGGGGTTTGGATTATTTCACTTAGCACAATAGTTTTTAACTCCATCCATTCACTGGCAAAAGTCATAAAATCACTCTTTTTTATGGCTGAATAATATTCCACTGTGTCTATATACCATATTTTCTTTATCCATTCATCTGTTGAAGGGCACCTAGGTTGGTTCCATAGCTTAGATATTGTGAATTGAGCTGCCATAAACATTGATGTGGCAGCATCACTATAGTATGTTGATTTTAAGTCCTTTGGGTATAAACAGAGGAGTGGGATAGCTGGGTCAAATGGTGGTTCCATTCCAAGTTTTCTGTGGAATCTCCATCCTGCTTTCTGGAAAGTGGTTGTACTAATTGCAGTCTCACCAGCAGTGTGTAAGTGTGTTTCTTTTCTTTTTCACCTCTAGGGCCTTGAGTGTGCTAAACACATGATCCAGCCCTGAGCCACACCACCAGCCCTAGATTCACTTCTTAACATTTTGCCACACACACTTTATCATTTATCATCTATCCACCTATAATATATTTTCTGAATCATTTGAGAATAAGTTGACCCTTTAACTGTGGGTACTTCAGTTATATCCTACGAATTAGGATTTTCTCTTACATAACCATATTAGAGTTAACAACCTCAATTAATTTAACACCAAGGAAATACTTTTATTTGATGTGTTCATATCCGCAACTGATTTCATAATTTACTTTATGGCATTTTTTCTTCCATTACAGGAACCAGTCTAGGGCCAGGAACTGCATTCATTTTTTTGTCTCCTTGATCTCCTTCAGTCTGGAGCATTTCCACAGTTTTTCTTCACTTCTTCCTTTCTTCTTTCTTGTTTGGTACCAGGGATTGATCCCAGGAGCACTTAACCACTGAGCCATATCCCCAGCCTTTTTTTGTATTTTCTTTAGAGACAGGGTCTCATTGAGTTGCTAGGGCCTCACTAAATTGCTGAGGCTGGCTTTGAACTCATAATCCTCCTGCCTCAGCTTCATAAACTGCTGGGATTATAGGTGTGTGCCACCTCGATCAGCATGTTCATAGCTTTTCTATGCCACTTATAACATTGAACTTTTTAAAAGTTTTTTTTTTCCTCATTTTGTGTGTCTGATTTTTTCCCTCTAGGTTAGAGTCCAGTTCCACATTCCCCACTGCAATCTTACGTAGGTCACCTATAACTACAGGCACATGACACCTTCCTGCCCCTCACTGTGATGTTGAATTGTATAACTAGAGTTGTTAGTCAGTTCTCCTCTCTATAGTTACCACATCTTCCCTGGTACTAAACAGCAATCTGTGGGAGACATTCTAAGATCATACAAATATGCTTCTCATCAAAATTTCCCCACTACCTTGATTTAGAATTTATTCATGATTCTTTCCTAACTAATCTTTATTACAATGATTACAAAATGTGTAAGAATCGTCTTCTGTTCTCCATTTATTTATTTGTTTCTTTGCTTATCATCAGTTTATTGTATGGTTGAAGATTCTTATTTTTTCCTCAAAGCCCTATAAGTCAAATTCAATACTGTCTTTAATAATTTCGTGCTCATCTGGATCGATGGTATATGCCTGTAATTTCGGCTATTAGGGAGGCAGGAGCATCTGAAGTTTAAGGCCAGCTGGTGCAACTTAGTGAAACCCTGTCTCATAATAAAATTTAAAAATCAAGGGCTGGGAATGTATCTCTGTGGTATAATGCCCCTGGGTTCATTCCCCAGCATAGGGAAAAATAAAAGTGAGCTCAAGAATTCTCAGATCTGATCTGGCCAATGGAAAGCTCTTCAAGCTCTCTCTTGTGTCCTTGGGACTTTTTTTTTTTTTCCTCTTGTAGCGCTAGGAAATTGAAACCAGGGTTTACACATACTAGGGCAAGGTCTGTGCCATTGAGCTACACCCCCAGCCTTCATCCCCAGCCTTTGAGTGTGGCATGTTTTTAAGCTCTCTCTTACTTTCTGGCATAAAAAGATGCTCCAGGCTCATCTTGTGCTGTTCCTCCTTCTCATCTCCAGCCTTTCTTCCCAGGCCACCCCTAGAGTGATCTCTGTAGGTGGAAGGCTGCAGGAGCACAGGAGCACAGAAGGGGGGGGGGTGGGAAGAGCTGGTACAGTGCTCGAAGTCTGAGATGCTGCAGAAGGGCTCAGAGCTTGGCCCTCTGAGTCCTCCACTGCTGACCCAGGGGGGTATTTTGCACAGCGAAAAGAAGCGTTTTGGGGCTGGGGTTGTTGCTCAGTGGCAGAGCGCTTGCTTAGCATGTGTGACACACTGCGTTTGATCCTCAGACCACGTATAAATAAATAAATAAACACACAAATAAATAAAATAAAGATTCACTGACAACTAAAAAAATAGAAGTGCTTGGATCTTGCAGATACAGTTACTGAGTCCTCTACCATGTGCAGGGCACTGTGAGCCATATACAAGTTATAAGACACCATTTCAAGGACACTGGTCTAGTAGGCCACCCACTCGTACACCTGATAGGGTGATTTCATTGTGCTGCCAGTGAGGTACATGCAGGAATTTGGGGAAATCTGGGGTGAGGATAGTACTTATGTCTGGAGGATTGCAAAAGGCTTCATTGGTGACTCTTGAGTTAGATCCTGAAGGAGGGTAGGATTTGGAAGAATAGTTTTCTGGTGAAACCAGAGGTTGCTACCTCTGAGCACTGAATCAAGAGAGACTTTGCAACTTCATTTCAGCTAGATCCAGCCCTTGGCCAGGTGCTGTAAGGAGCATGAGGGACAGCACCCTCTTGCAGCCTTGGTGTCATGATGCCATTTAATTTTTATTTTCAGACGCAGCTGAAACATGCCCTTCATTCACCAGACTGAGCTTTCACAGTGCGGTGGTGGGTACTGGGCTGCAGGTGAGGCTGATGCTCTATACGAAGAGAAACCAGACCTGCGCACAAATCATCAACTCAACAGCTTTGGGGAACTTGAATGTGACCAAGAAAACCACCTTCATTATTCATGGATTCCGGCCAACAGGTTCCGCTCCAGTTTGGATGGGAGACTTAGTAGAGGCTTTGCTCTCTGCAGAACACATGAACGTGGTTGTTGTTGATTGGAATCGAGGAGCTACCACTGTCATATACACCCACGCCGCTAATAAGACCAAAAAAGTAGCCATCATCTTGAAGGAATTTATCGACCAGATGTTGGTAAGAAAGACTTCTCTTGTATGACTTTGTGGTCAAATTGAAACTGACTAATTACCTGGAGATTTAAAGCCAAGAGATATATCTTCAATGAAAAGGGGGTCAATTTTGTATAATTCTGCAAGTCTAAATAAGGCACAGGGAGGTATAGAGAGGGACCCTAAGTAAGGCCCACAGGTATGGTGGTACAGGTTGTGTACCGCACAGGACACTGATGTAAGGGAGCAGCATTGTCATTGTAGATGTTGTAGATTTACATATTTATCATGTTTACTATGATAATTTCCCCACATATGACAATGAAGTATCATAGCAAGGGGAAGCTTTCTTTCTCTTTCTCATTTTGACACTGGGCATTGTGTCTAAGGCCTTGTGCATACTTATTAAGTGCTCTACCCCTGATTTACATCCCTAGCCTTTTAAAATTTTAATTTAGTTTTTTTGATACCAGGGATGCTCTCCCACTGAGCAATATCCCCAGACTTTTTTTCCCCCCCTTAATTTTGAGACAGTGTCTCACTAAGTTTCCCAGACTGGTCTCAAAATTTGTGATCTTCCTGCTTCAACTTCTTGAGCCACTGGTATTATAGCATATACCATTATGCTCAGCTCTTTTTCTAGTCCATATAAAAGTGTCTTATGGGTCAAAGACGGTCTGTCTAGGAGCTTCCCAGTTTAAACATCTAGAGCTTCAACTTTGGTAGCTGTTCTTTCTGCTAGAAGTGCCAGAGCTTTAGTGACCCAGTTATCCAAAACTGATCTGATGAGATAATTAATGTTTCTAGAAGACTTATAAAGGTCAGATATTAAATTTATTTAGTGACCCACCTCATGCATTGTTCCTTTTAACAACAGCAACAATGACAAGTGACATGAAATCAGGAAGATAGGTGACATGAGTATTATCCAAGCCCCCCCACCTAAACCACAGTCTAGGGAGGAGAATATTTGAATGGTTCAGGACAAGCTGTCCCAGTAGCCTATGGATACTGTGGTCCACCTCTCCAGGTTTTTCCCTTGTTTCCTTCCCTCTCCATGGTGACTTTATTCTCTGGGCCAGGATGAAGATAAGGGTGTTCATCAAATTGTACTGTCATCCCTCTCCCCAGTCTGCTTAGGGCTGGGGCTGGGTCTGGGGCTCAGTGGCAAAGTGCTTGCCTAGCACGTGTGAGGCACTGGGTTCCATTCTCGCACCACATAAAAATAAATAAATAAAACAAACAACGTACTGTGTCCATCTACAGCTAAAGATGTATCCACTTAGTTTCTAGCAGAAGCATGAATGGGAGTCAGGTGGTAATCCCAACAACTTGGGAGGCTGAGGCAGGAGGATTGCAAGTTCAAAGCCAACCTCATTCTGTCTCAAAATAAAAAAAAATAAAAAGGGCTGGGAATGTGGCTCAGTGGTTAAGGGTCCCTGGCTTTAATCCTCAGTACAAACAAAACCAAAAAACAAACAGTGTGAGTGGACTCACCATGACACAAAGGGTAAGGTACAAGTTTAGGGTTGGGCTGGTGGGTTTGAATCCTGCTCTACTATACTCTCAATTTCCCAACCTCTACCACGATTTCAGTGGGCCTCAGATTCTTCGCATAATGAAAAGAATAGTATTTATATTGTGGGGGTCTTGTGACATTTAAATGAGACAATAGATGTAAGACACTTAGAAATATTTCTCCAAAGTCAATAGGTAGGAAATTTCTCCATATGTAGTCAATTCTTTGACTCCTCATAATTTGTAACTATGGGCTTATTGGAATTCCAGGCAGAAGGAGCTTCTCTTGACAACATTTATATGATTGGAGTAAGTCTAGGAGCCCACATATCTGGATTTGTTGGAGAAATGTATGATGGGCAGTTGGGGAGAATTACAGGTAAGACTCCTGTGGGTCTGTGGGGTATAGCTTGGGCCAGGTGGTCACTGGGGGGGATATTACACAGGCAGTCCTAGTCCTCAGTTTGAAGCCAGCTCTTCCAATTATCTAACCTCTCTAAGCAAGGACTCCTTTCTGCAAAAGATAAACCATAATAATGTTAACCTCAGGTTATTATTTAATTAAATATATGTAAAGCACTTTACAAATTATATGCCACAGATAAGATGGGTGGTGACTTAATTTCTTTTATACCTAGGAAAACTGCAATGTCCTGTGGGAATTTAATCTATTTGACCTGAAAAGAGTCTTCTTCCTTTCATTTAATCTAGAATGTGGAACTATATACCTAGTACATCACGGTCCCCAGAAGTAGTTTCATGGTAGGAAAATGATATCGGAATTTTGATGGTTGAGCCTGACTCTGTAAATATCAGTTTTCCAGCAAACACTGAATGAAAACACTCAGAAATGCAGCAGGTTAAACCCCAAACAAAGACTCCCTTGCTGGGATCTCTTACCTAGAGCTTAGTAACTTTCCACAGCTATTCACAAAGGGCTGAGGGTAAGGGTGGCTCTCTATTTCCAAGACCTTGACCTCTCCCATTCTTTTGAAGTACTGGGGTGCTTTACCACTGAGCTACAGCCCCAACTCTTGCCCTGGGCAAGTCACTTCTATCCCTGTGACTCGGTGTCCATCTCTCTGTCTCTGTCCCTATCTGTTTATCTCCCTCTCTCTTTATCTCTTTTTCTCTTTCTCCCATACATGCACATCCCACATTGACTGGCATCAATTCTAGCTATGTATTTTAGGTCACATTGTTTGTCCTGGTTATTTGTTTAAATTTCGCTTTAATCTGAAGGTTCAGGATTCCTCATCTTGTTTAATCTGCTTTCTTGGGGAAGCAAATTGTTTTTTTTAAGTTTGAAAATGTATTGTTACTATTTTTGGAAGGCAAGGTGTTTTTAAAATTTTTCCTCCTGTAAAAAGGTCAGATGGCTTGAGTTTGAATTTGTGGGAATTAAAAAGAGAGAGAAAAAGAGGCGGAGGAGAGAGGAAGGAAGGAAAGAAAGAAATAAAGAAAGAGGAAGAGAGGGGAAGGGAATAGAAAAAGGGACAGGCTGATAAGCAGGTCCTGATTTGTAGCAATTGCTGGTTTTCTGGGGTCTAAAACTCCCACCACGACTAATCTCAAGCTACCAACATGACATCAATTGAGCACAGAGTCTGGGTGGAGATGAACAACATTTGTTCTGCAGCCCACCACGTCTTGTTCTATCTGCAAGTCAGGTGCATTCCTAAGCCTCCCAGCCAATCAGTTCCCACAATTACTTTGAAAATGAACTACAACAGGTGATGTCTCTGACCATGGAAATTCCCAGGCCAGCCTTCCTTTCACTCTGAGCCCATGTGACCCTGCCCCATAGCCTGGACTCAGCTGATCATCCACAACTCCCTTTTCAACCTCCATATTCTCTGAATCCCAAGGTTAGTCTCCATCTTCCCCAAGAGCAGCTGAGGCAGAAAGCATTTCCCCTCCCTACTCCCCTTCCTCGGCCTTGCCTGGGTGGGCTCACTGGGTTGCAGGGTGGGAATGGAACCTGTAACCTAAGGACACAATTCACATCTCACTCCCATGGATCAGATGGCTCTGTCTATTACTTATCTTGATGGTCTTGATGGCTGCTTGATGCTGTGTTTTCAATTTCTTTCTTTCTTCTGCCCCTCTTTTTGCCTCTCTCCATGAATATCTCTTGGTTTTTCCTCTCATTGCAAGTCAAAACACTCTACCACTGAGCTACATCCCCATCCCCTATCTTTAACTTCTCCAAGAGAAGATGATGGATGGTGAATGGGTTGCAAACATTTCAAGTACCTGGATCATTTATGAATACTTTAAATTTGATTCTCAAACTTGACTGTAAGTTTGCATGAAACTTGCCTTGGGGTGCTGGAGAAAATGCCAATGGGCTGGCCTGAGTTGGAGGCAGGAGTCTGTATTTTTGTTTCATATATATATATATATATATATATATATATATTTGATGGTCCTTTATTGTTATTTATTTATATGTGGTGTTGAGAATTGAACTCAGTGCCTCACACATGCTAGGCAAGTGCTCTACCACTGAGCTACAATCCCAGCCCAGGAATCTGTATTTTTAACCAGAAAATATAGATGGTCTGAGCTCCACACTTGGAGAAACTATAGAGTAACCTCTAGTCCCATATGACCACCAAGTACTTGAAATGTGGTCAGTGCAAACTGAAATCTGTTGTGTGAAATACACATTAGCTTTAGAAGACTGAGAAGAATAATAACTAAAAACACAGAATATAGAAAATATTAAGTTTTTTACTGGTTACATGGACATAACAATATTTTGCATGAAATAAAATGTGTTTTTGTTTCGGTGGTGCTTTATGTATGTCTGTTCATACCATGTGCAGGGTTCTTGTTTTTTTGTTTGTTTGTTTTTAAGTGCAGGGGATTGGCCAGGGATTCTTAACCACTGAACCACATCTCCAGCCCTTTTTATTTTTCATTTTGAGACAGGGTCTTGCTCAGTTGCTTAGGGCCTCACTAAATTGCTGAGGCTGGCTTTGAACTTGTAACTCTTCTTCCTCAGTCTCCTGAGTTGCTAGGTTTACAGGTGTGAGCCACCATGCCTGGTGAGCGCGCATATTTTTGGTCAATTTTTTGACTGACATTGTCAGCTGATCACTTGCTATGGCATATCACTGTGGATATTATAAGTCCAAGTTTTTTTGTGACAGTCCTGGTTTGTACCTCTTGTCCTGGTGTGATTATGAACGGTGCCCTCACACTCTCAAAATTGCCCTGTTCTAGATGTTTTCTCTGCCAGTGACCTGGAGGTTGCTATAAACTGGGCCTCTCATTCTTCATTGTCTTAGACAGGAAGTAGTGCTGTCTGATGTGAGGAGGGAGGAGGAGCTTCCTGGTGGGGGACACATTCTTTCTAAGGCTATGTTGTATTGAAAACAACATATGGACTGGGTGTTTGCCCATCTCCTCCCACACCAGTTTCAGTTGGGAGTGGACAGAAGAGGAAGAAAGGCTGGGAGGGGGAAGATAAGAAAAGAGGGTAGATAAATAAATGGCTCCAGGAAGCAGAAGTGCATTGGGAGAGGAGAAATGGAGAGATTGAAGCTAGAACCAAGAGAGTTAAAGGAAAGAGGCTCAAGTTGGATTTTATATGTAACACAGGGGATGGGAGATGTCATCTAAAATGACATTTGTAGGGACTAGGGGTGTAGCTCAGTAGTAGAGCAGAAACTTAGCGTGTTCAAGGTCCTAGGTTCAAACCTTAGCACCCAAAACAAAAATTTTAAAAAGCGATATTCACAGGTTAAAGCTTCAAGGGAGATGTCCCTTGAGATCTTCACTTTACATAGGGCTCTAATAAGTGCCTTTTTGAGCCTCTGGATTTTTTTTTTAAAGTTTTTATTTTGTGGTTACAATATCATAAGGGCTGCTCCCCTATATTTCGAGTTGTTTCACAGTGATGTGAGAAACGCCCAGCTAATATTGACAAGATGTTAATGTTAACATTAATATTGGCAAGAATTGAGTCCAGGCACTTATGGAGTGGGTGATATCTGCGGTATCTACAGGGACTGGCAACCTCTTTGATACCTGGCTTGGCCAGTGAGCTTTGCCCTTTCCTGTTGAGCTTGCTAAGCTCTGTGTGGTGAAACCAAGAGCTCAACACCCAGAGGAGGTTGCCCCGAGAGGCAGGGCTCGCCTCAAGATGCTTGATCTCCCCAAACCTCAGTTCATTCATCTATAAAATAGCTGCCCTGCTTCTCTGGCAGGTTTGCAATGCAAATTAACGAGCTGGGATATGAACACCAGTGAAGCTATAAGGGAGTTTTATTAATAACGAGAAGGAAGGACTGAATGGGGTTTCTGGATCACCAAAAATGAGATAAAATAAGATAACAGCATTTAGTTTTTCTCTTTTATGCACCCTGTGGTGCTTTTTTTTCCTGAGGAGCCAGTGTATCCCCGCCACTGCCCCCTTGTGTGGGGAGCTCTGCTTGGGCTGTGCTTCCTTCTGAAGTCGGGGTACGGTTCACAGGGCTATGGTCAGGGTAACCATCTCTACTGTGGGAAATAGCTGCAGGGCTGTGGAAAGGAGTCCTGACAAAGCAGGATGGGAATGTGAGTGCTCGCCCACCCGAGGGGAGCCTGCAGCCTGTGAACCATCCTCCCTGGGAGGCATCAGAGGCACTGTGCCAGTGACTCATGGCATGGGGCTGCCAAGCCACTCTGTTTTCCTTCCAGGTCTCGATCCTGCGGGCCCTTTATTCAACGGGAGGCCCCCCCAGGACAGATTAGATCCCAGCGATGCGCAGTTCGTTGATGTCATCCACTCCGACACTGATGGTAACATTCCTGTCTTGGTGGGTTAGTGGCCCCCCCCAGACCCACAGAATCCCCCTGGGGCAGATTGTCATGCAGGGGCAGAGCAGGTTTCTCCAGCTGCCTTTTTCCTACCAGGCAGGTTCCAAATCTGCAGAAACACTGAAAGGAAGAGGTAGCTGGTGTAGCCAGGCCCCTGGGTCCATGCTGCAGTGGGGATGATTTTCCCGTGGTCTTTTTTTCCCCCTTTTTTTGGTGGGGGCACGGGTACCAGGGATTGAACCACTGAGCCACACCCCCATCCCTATTTTGTATTTTATATAGAGAAAGGCTCTCACTGAATAGCTTAGGGCCTTGCCATCACCAAGGCTGGCTTTGAACTTGCAATCCTCCTGCCTTAGCCTCCCCAGCTGCTGGGATTACAGTCATGAGCCACTGTGCCTGGCCTTCCCAGGGTCTTTTATCTTAAATATACCATTGTGCCCAATCACAGTCAGGCCAATTTACATACCACGTGGACAGTGTTTCCATATATGCAACTGGGTTTGGATGCATAATTTCCTGAGTGTGTTGGTTACTTCTCATTATTTCCTTAAGCTGAAAGGACAAACAATTATATAACAACAACAATAATGATCCAAATCCTGTCTATGTCTGGAAGGCAAGTGAGCTATGAGAGGTGAATGAGTTAAAGCAGTGTGAAAGCATAGTGTGTTCTCTTTTAGCACTGGGCTACAAGGAACCGCTAGGAAACATAGACTTCTATCCAAATGGAGGATTGGATCAACCTGGTTGCCCCCAAACGATATTTGGAGGTAAGTGCAGGTACTTTATATTCTGTAAAATAGTGGATTGAAAAGCACAATTTAAAAAAATCTGATTATCTTCACGGAGTAGTTTTGAATAGAAAACAAATTTTTCTGAGAAGATAGCAGTGGTTTAAATATAAATTATAAATTGCAAACTTAGCTCCTCAAAACAAAAAAAATAGGGAGTTGAAGGGCAACATTAAAAGTGAGATGGGGGTTCAATGTTTATAGCAGCTCAATTCATCATAGTTAAGCTATGGAACCAACCTAGGTGCCCTTCAACAGATGAATGGATACAGAAAATGTGGTTTATATACACAATGGAATATTGACCATAAAAAAGAATGACTTTATGACATTTGCCAAAAAATGGATGAATCTTGAAACTATTATGCTAAGCGAAATAAGCCAATCCCAAACAACCAAAGGTCAAATGTACTCTCTGATATGTGGTTGCTAACACACAACAAGGTGGGAGGAGGGGAAGAATAGAAGTTCAGCAGATTAGACAAAGGGAAATGAAGGGAAGGGAGAGGGGGACAGAAATAGGAAAGACAGTGGAATGAATCTGATATCACCTATGTACATATGTAAATATACCACAGTGAATCTCTGCATCATATACAACCACAAGACTGGAATCCTAATTAGAATAGGATAGACTATAATAGATAGACTCTGTATTTGTATAGATATGTCAAAATATACTCTCCTGGGCTGGGGTTGTAGCTCAGTGGTAGAGCACTTGCCTAGCATGTGTGAGTCACTGGGTTCGATCCTTAGCACCACATAAAAAAATAAATAAATAAAAGTAAAGGTATTGTGTAAAAAATAAATTCTACTGTCAAGTATAACGAAAAAGAACAAATAAAAAATAAGTGAGGGTCTGGGGTTGTAGCTCAGTGGTGGAGCACTTGCCTAGCATGTGTGAGGTACTGGGTTTGATCCTCAGCACCACATAAAAATAAGTAAACAAACAAACAAATAAATGGTATTGTGTCCATCTACAACTTAAAAAAGAAAGTGAGGTGGAGGATAGATTTTAAAGTCCAACCCCTTAGTGCTCTAAGTATATATTTCGTCACTGCTAGAGAAAGTCAAACAACTATGGAAATGATTCTAGAAAAAGGATGGTCTTGGCATGAAAAGGTAGTTGTCTATGGCCCCAGCTGACTGACATAGTGTTTGAAAATGATCCGGCTGAAATGGCACAAGCAGGGATACCCATGTTGTACCATAGTGAGGTTCAAATTGCATCCTGTGAGACAGTGTAACCATATCCACAAACAGCCAAAGAAAATGTGCTTTGCTGGTACAGGACATCCCCCATATTGTTATCAACTCCACTGTTTTCCCATGACTTTTTTCTCTTTTGGTTCAGGGGACTGAACCCGCTCTACCACTGAGCTACATCCCCAGCCCAACTCCATTGTTTCTGCAAAAGGAAGTTCCAGGAACAAAACAATAAGTGTTGGCTTGTCAGGTTTGACTCCAGTCCAGCTTGGCCCGTGCCAGCCCCATGCTTCTTCCTTCTTACCCCAGTTGATGCCTCTGTTCCTCACTGATCTGTTGTATGGGCACAAGTGAACCCTGGAGGAATAGAAAACGCTCTGATCTGATGCAGTAGCCAGTGCCTCTCCAAACCACTCGCAACCACACACAGCTCCTCTTTTCATAGGGTTACTGTTTCCTCTTCAGATCCTTACCCACACTGATTGCCCTTTTGTGGAATTAAGCCTCTGTTTTGAGTGACATCGGTAATTCATTATCTCTAGTTCTTTTGACACCCATCTCTGTGTCTCCTCAACCTCCTGTCTCACCATCGCACCACCTGGCACCCGCTGGCACCCCCTGGGAGCTAACTTGAGTCCTTCTTGTCCATTCATGACTTCTAGTGCCCACTCCTATCATTTAGCCCCTCCCACTTCACTCTTGCATTGGCCACAGATCCCTGCCACTTGGCTGCTATGGGGAATGCCCTCTGTACCCCCAGGGGTACTCTTAGAGGTGAGCTAGATTGGACTTTCGTCCCACCTGAGAGAGCCATTTTATCTATCTTCATCTGAGTTCACACGGCCAGTGTTCACCCTCATGTTCCCTCCTGACCCAGGGTAGAGGCATCCCCCTCCCTTTCCAACGTGCTCTCCTCTGCTGACCCTCCTTGGGAGCTTCCCCTACCAGTTACTCCCTATTGTCTTCCGGTTCCACTAAGCCTGCACTAAAACTCTCCCCTTCTTGCTTCTGTGTCATCGGGTGATGTCGTCTGGCTGGTCTTTCCATGGTCGCTCTTTTGAGGGCTCTCTGAAAGTACCTCCCCTCAGGCTAGGTCATCTGATTTTCATTTCACTCTCCCTTTTTTTCCTTAAATATTTTATCTGTATTTCTAAGTTCAGAATTCACCATGAAAGTGGAAGGGGTAGATTCTGATCTAATTGACTTTTATCCACACCCTGGACTCTGCTCCACCCAACAGCCCAGACCTGTTTAGGAAGACTTCACTCTTGAGTGACCCACTTCCATGAAGCTGCTGCCCTTTGGTGCCCACTTAAAGTTGAGATCAATTTCAGGGAGGAGATGCTCGTGGGAGGATTTACAGCCCAGGCTCATCCATTTTCTTATGTGATCTTCCTCCTCAGAGGGGTGTGTGTTTGAAGTGTGTGACATGCGTGCAGGTAATTGAACCCAGGGCCTCCTGCATGCTAGTCAAGTGCTCTACTACTGAGTTACACCCCCAGCCCTCCTCAGATAACTCTTGATTCCCTTCTGTCCTTTTATATCAGCTGATCCTGTTCCTTGGCCCTCTGTTATGGTTGTGAGCATTGCAGGCTCACCATGCAGAGTGATTTCTCACAAAAAACCCCTTGCCATTGGGTTTTTGATAAGATAGAAGGTAAATTCATCCTGTGGTCCAGCTAACGTGTCATCAAGAACTACAATGTCTTAGTAAACCTCAGGCTCAGTCCTTGATTAAGATGTAAGACTGTGTGCCATCCCCCACCCTCGTCCCCTCTGCCCTGCCGTGTAGACTCCCAGCCTCTTCTAGTCTGCAGCACAGCAGTGGTTCTCAAACTTCAGCATGTCTCAGAATCATGTAGAAAGCTTGGTAAAACACAGATCACATTGGCACGTGCAAGACCTTGTGTTCAGTCCCAGCAACAAACCAAATCAAACCAAACCAAATCACAGACTGCAGACAGCTGCAAGCCTCTCAGGGGAAAGTACTAATAATGTCCATTTCTAATAAATTCCCAAGTGATGCTTATTTTGAGAACTTTAGTAGTAGTGCAACAGATAGATCTGAGAGCCCCATAGACCACAGGTGGAAGAATTCCAACTCTGCCTTTGTTAGTAGTTCTCTGTGCCTCAGCTTTCCTATCTATAAAATGACACTAATATTGCCTCCCTTACAAGATTGTGAGAGCTAGCAACATATTATATAAAGAACCTAGGCTATTATTACCCACCACAGTATTTCTGATTTTGTTTTATTACAGTGATTATAAAAATTTATAGGTTCGTGGCTTTAAAATATTTGAAACAAAGTTGGGATACTTTACTTACCTGTCTGGTCTTTGTCCACTGCCAGGACCTGTTCCATTTAAAAAAAAATTTATTTATATTTATTTATTTATTTATTTTAACATAAAGAAATTTATTCAAGGAATACACACAAATGCAATTTTTAAATGATTTTTAAAAATACAATACCTTTATTTATTTATTTATTTTTATGTGGTGCTGAGAATCAAACCCAGTACCTTCCATGTGCCAGGCAAGTGCTCTGCCACTGAACCACAACCCCAGCCTGGCCCAGTTGCTTTTGACATAATGAAAAATGTGGCAGTAACCAAAACTACTCTCTTGCTTTTGACTTTGCAGTCCTTGGGATTATTAGGACTTACCTGGAGCAGATGAGGGAACCCATAACAACCAGACTTTTAGTTAAAGCCTTGAGCAGAAATGAGGCAGAAGGCTGGATGGGGTGGTCTGCATCTGTAGTCCCAGCTACTCAGAAGGGCTGGGTGTGTAGCTCAGTGGTAGAGCTCTTGTCTAGCATGCGTGAGGCTGTGGATATCCCCAACACTGAAAGAAAAAAAATAGAGGGGTTTCAGTGTGTAGCAGAACCTGCTGGAGATTGCACTTCCAAATATTTGGTATTAATTTTTCATGTGCCTGGCACTGTTCTAAGATTTAAAGCTACAATAGTAAATGAAATATGCAAGAATGCTTATTTTGGGAGAAGCAGAGTCAAGTTATTCAAGATAAAAGACTGTATGTGATGAGATCTAATGGATGTTTTTAACAGTGACATTATTTTTTGTTTTTGTTTTTGTTTGTTTTCTGTGTGCTGGGGAGGAGACCCAGGGCCTCACAAGTGGTAGGCACCTGTTCTAGCTACTTCAAGCTATACCCCTGGCCCTACGGTATTTAATTAAAGTATATTTGCTTTAACTCCTGTCACAACCTTAATTTAATGTCATCTTTTCTTCTGCCACCTGCCAGCATGAATCCTTATGTATGGCTTTTTGTAAGGACTGAATGGGATCAAGTACATTGGAGCTTTCAGAGCCAAGCAGGAGATGAGAAATTGTGTGTGTAAAGCATGTGATGTTCTTCTTTTAAATGCTTCTACTGCTCTACCCTTGAATCACTCCCTTTCCAACTAAGGAATAAAGTATTTCAAGTGTGACCACCAGAGGTCCGTGTACCTGTACCTGGCTTCCCTGAGAGAGGACTGTGAGATCACCGCCTATCCCTGTGACTCCTACAGGGACTACAGGAACGGCAAGTGCACCAGCTGCGGCACACCAGAGCAGTCCTGTCCTGTCCTGGGTAGGTCCAAAGCGGTTTCCCCCTCTGCTTTGGTACAAATTTTTGGTACAAATCCCAGAACCATTTTGCTATCTAAAAATGGCTCCAAAATTGTTTTCTAAAAGCAACAACAATTTTAAAAAACCCATAAAACAGTCTAGGCAGCTTTTTTGAGCCAACTTTCTAGTCTCCTAATTACAAAAATTGGTAGAAGAGCAATCTGTGTAGGATTCCACCCAGCAGGTAGCGCAGCCTATCCAGAGCACAGCCACGTTACACAGCCTGCTCCTGGGAGGGCTGGAATACCCTCTCTGTGCACACGACCTCTCTGCTGGGCAAGGGTCCACAGTGAGACAGAGACCTTCTGCCAGATGACATAGCTGAGTGGTCCCTTTTAACTAGTGTCCATAAATGCCCTTACTGTCAGCTGGGCATGGTGGATCATATCTGCAATCCCAACTACTTGGGAGACTGAAGCAGGAGATTAAAAGTTCAAGACCAGACTAGGCAACTTAGTGAAAGCCTGCCTCAAAATAAGGTGTAAAAAGAGCTGGAGATGTAGCTTAGTGGTAGAGTGCCCTAGTTCAATTCCACTACGGGGTTTGGAGTGGGGGATGCCCTCACTCCATCCCCTGGCTCTTGTGGGTATACAGGGCTGAGGTGGGCTCAAAGATGCCATGGGTACTGCTTGGATATTTGTTAGGGGTTGGTGGAAATATCCTAGGTGGTTAAAATTTTGAAATCCATGAGGATTTTCTGATTTTTCCTAAAAGGAAAATTAAATATATATATTTAATACCGGTGTCTGTGTCCTATTCCCTATCAATTAAATCAGAGTCTGGAGGCCATTTTCTGGCAGTGAGGACAGAGGAGAGAAAGAGGTCGTAGAACAGCACCCAACCTTGTCTCCTGTAGGCATAGATATAAAGGGAGACATTCACCTGCTTGGTGACATAGTTATCTGGCAAGCCCACATTCTGTACAACATTCTGTAATAATAAAAAGTTTTTCAAGAAAGCCCAGGGTCTGGGGGCACAGCTCAGTGGTAGAGCATGTGCTTAGCATGCATGAAGCCCTGGGTTCTATTTCAAGAACTGCCAAACCCCAAAAAATGGAAAATAAAAAAGCACCTTGCTTTGCAATAATGATGCTATTTTAGGTCTAAACCTAAATCTGTTTTAATGTAGAAAATGAATGTATTACTGTAAAACATCAGTCCTATTTTTAGTCCAAAACAGTGTGCTGCTCCCCATCCCCCTACGAGGTTAACTGAGAGCCAGTAAAGAGGTCAAAGCCATGGTAGGGTCCTTCTGCACCCCAGCTCTTAGGGATGGAGACAACTGGCAAGAATGGTGGTCACTGGGGTGACACTGTCCTGGACCCTGCAGTGCTCACATGGTGCTGGCAGGTTGTCACTGTGGTGGCTGCAGGTGTCTCAGTGTGCTCACCCTTTGCCGCTTTCATGTTTATGTAACCCGTGTTCACGTTACGCTTTTCCAACTTGTTTTATAGGCTATTATGCTGACAATTGGAAAGACTACTTAAAGCAGAAAGATCCTCCGATGACTAAGGCGTTCTTTGACACAGCTGAGAAGGAGCCATTCTGCAGTGAGTGGTGAACGGTGTTTGACTGACCCTTTTATTGTGGGCAGGTTGAGTCTCAGCTTCCTGGCTGCTTCTTGGCAAATGAAGGACGTGGTAAAGCTTGGAGTTTGAAGCTGGAAGGGCCTAGGTAGAATCCTGATTCTATCACATAATAGCTGTGAGACCTTGGTCAGGTCTTCTAACCTCTGTGGATCTCAGGGTCCTGTTGGCTAAGTGGAGATAATAATGCCTATCTTCTGGGCTATTAGGATTACAACATCAATAAATCAGTGTTGCTAGCATCACCAGTGGCCATAGTCACCACTAAGATCTTCCAGGAAATCACTTGATTCCTCAAGAGACATGATGGACATTGGGGCTAGGAAAACTAAGGTGGCAGGCACATCTTACGGGTCAGTCCTAGCTCTACAGCAACATGACAAATTCAAGACATCAAGAGGCTGAGTATTCCAGATGGAAGCTCATTAGGATAGCAGTTGATTAAATGCTCTGTATGCCGTCAGGATTTGCCTGGGAAGATGTATGCGTTTCTTGCAATCTTTTTTCTTTTATTGTTATTGTTTGGTATTGTTGTTGTTGAGCACCAGGGGTGCTCAACCACTGAGCTGAGCCACATCCCCAGATCCCCCTTTTTTAAAAATTTGGGACAGGGTCTAAGTTGCTAAGGACCTCGCTAAATTGCTGAAGCTGGCTTTGAACTTGTGATCCTCCTGCCTCAGTCTCCAGCCACCGGTAACACGGGCATGTGCCCCCACGCCAGGCCTTCCTTGCAATCTTTTACTCCTTATCACTTTTCTTGGGAGCAACTGTCCTAAAAGACTAGCAGATCCCTGGGTTTCCCTCTTTCTTTGGAGCCATACATGGTAGCCCAGGGTTGGGCATCTGCCTGGTCTCTACGGGGCAATCCCCTGAGCAATAAGGGCCATGAAAGGACATTCCAGAGCTGGCCTTAACTTCATGGAACCATCATCTTCCCGAATCTCTTTCACTTTCCTTGCAAGTCTGACCAAGAAAGAGCAAATCTGCCTGTCACGTAGAGATCCCTATCTTCCCAAAACATACTTGACCTTTTTTTTTTTTAAAGAGAGAGTGAGAGAGAATTTTTAATATTTATTTTTTAGTTCTCGGCGGACACAACATCTTTGTTGGTATGTGGTGTTGAGGATCGAACCCGGGCCGCACGCATGCCAGGCGAGCGCGCTACCGCTTGAGCCACATCCCCAGCCCCAACATACTTGACCTTGAAGAGCAAATAGTAAGGAAGAAAAATAGTTCTCTGAATGCATTGTGTATCATTTATTCAGGAGGAATTATTGCGTGCCTATAAGATTTACTTCAGGGATTATAAAAAGAGCAAGAGAGAGCTTGGTAGTGCAGGAGATATGCATGGCATGCAGAGGTAGGAAGGAGACTTCAAGGTGCACCAGGTAGGTAGTGGACATGACTCAAATTATGGAAGACCTTGTTAGCCATGGAGTATCTCCAAGTGACAACTTGATCATTTTAGCATAAGATGGGCTGGACGGAAGTGAACCAACCACATGTAGCCATAGGCCGGGAGACCTTAGTCCATTTGGTGGGAACCTGGGATGCCTGAACATGGTGACTGGGTCCCAGTGAACTCTGATGTCACTCATGCCATTTTTGTCAAAGAGAAGAAAAAAAGAACAATAGAAAATATTGCCCCAGATCTTTTCAGAGAAACTTCAGAGGAAGAGAAAAGGAAACTCAATTATTAGGGATGTTGGGCTTTCAGGAGTCCGCCCTCCAGGGGAGCATTTGGGGCTACCTCTCTCTTATTACGTTCTCTCCCTGTTCTGCAGTGTATCATTACTTTGTGGACATTATATCTTGGAACAAGAACATCAGAAGAGGGTCTATTACAATCAAATTGAGAGACAGAGATGGAAATACCACAGAATCTAAAATCGATCAGTAAGTTGAGCTGCAATAGTTTGCCATTTGCTATTTTCCTCTTGGCTTGAGAAATTAAATCCCAGATGTATCTACTTTCTTATTTATAGGTCTGTACTTTCCCTTGTCCTACAAAAAATATAAGGGGACATGTTGTTTACTTGCTTTCGCTGCTCTTGCTATCTCAGGCTCTCTACAAATGTATTGGCACAAGTGATTTCTTCCTTCCTTTCTTCCTCCTTCCCTCCTTTACCTTCTTCCTTTCCTGCCACCATCCCTTTTTCTCTTCTAATTCTTCCTCTGATTGAACATTTAATTACAAAAGTTTTTCTTGCTTACCATAAAGGTTCAAACAACTATGATGATTTAATCATTCCACATTTTATATACATGTATCAAAACCTTACATTGTACCCCATAGGTATATACAATTATGATTTTTTTTCAATATAAAATAATCCATTTTAAAACTATAAATGGCCAGGAATGGTGGTGGACACCTATAATCCAAGTGTCTCTGGAGGCTGAGGCAGGAGGCCAACAAGTTTGAGGCAAGCCTCAGCAACTTAGCAAGGCCCTCAGCAACTTATTGAAACCCTGTCTCAAAAACTGAAGAGGGCTGGGGATGTATGTTTTAGTCAGTTTTGTATTGCTGTGACCAAAAGACCTAAAAGAGAACAACTTAGAGAAGGAAAAAATTATTTTGGCTCATGGTTTCAGAGGTTCAGTCCACCATAGGCCAGCGCCATAGTTTTGGGCCCAAGATGAGGCAGAAATTCATGTTGGAAGGGCATGGTGGAGGAAGGCAGCTCAGGATGCAGCAGCCAGGAAGCAGGAGAGTTCTGCTCACCAGAGAAAAAATATAACCTCAAAAGCCACATCCCCAGTGTCCTACTTCTTCCAGCCACACTCTGTGTGGCTACAGTTATCACCCAGTTAATCCATAGGTTATGACTCTCATGATCTAATCACTTCACCTGTGAATATTCTTGCATTGTCTCATACATGAGCTTTTGGGGGATACCTCATTTCTAAACCATAACAATATAGCTCAGTGATAAATCACAGCTGGGTAATTCACAGTACTAAAAAACAAAAACACACAAATAAAAAACATAAAGGGGTATGCCACATAAAAGTACAAGTTCTCACCCACTCCCCACAATAGGCCCACCTCCAAAGTCCAAAGGCACCCACCACATACATATGCCTATCCTTTTATGAGCTATACAAGTAGAAATGTATATGACATAAATATAACATGTACATAGATATGTTTTTGAAACTTAAAATATAATTTGCAGTAAAAAAGTCAAAGACACCCTTAAAATTCAGCAATGGGGAAATGATTAAATATTCTCATGTAATAGAATATTATTCATATATTGAAGTTTTATGATATGTATTACATGAAAGCTTACAATATGCCAAGTAAAAAAAAATGTAGAATATAGAATTATATAAAGATTTAAATTAGCTCTGCCATGTAAAAGTAATAAAAAAGAAACTTGCCAAAATATTATATTGTTATTTGGATAGTGAGACTCTATAACTGTTTTTTTTTAAAGTTCTCTTTAGTCTTCAGTTTTCTATGATGGTGTGTATAATTTTTTAAAGTTTTAAAATAATTAGCACTTTAAAAAAATCTATTACTTCTATAACCATGTTCTAACTCTATGTTTAGTATTTTGAAGAACTGTCAGACTGTGTCCAAAACAGTTGTCCTATTTCACATCTCCACTAGCAATGTATAAGGATCCAACTTCTTCACACACTTGCCAGCACTTCTTTTTATCTAAATTTTTTTTATTGTGGTAAAGATGCATAACACAAATAACATAAACTTTACCATCTTTTTTTTGTTTGTTTGTTTTGGTTTGGTTTTGGTACTAGGGATTGAACCCAGGGACACTTTACCACTGAGCTACATCCCCAGCCTATAGTTTGTTTTCGTTTTTAAGGACATGTGAACTTTTTTGTCTTTTTTATTGGCACACAGTTGTACATAATGGTGGGATTTGTTGTTACATATTAGTATACATACACGATATAGCAATATAATTTGGCAAATATCCTCCACAGAGATTTCCTCCTTATTTCACTCCTCTCACCCCTTAGTCCTTTTCCTCTACTAATCTCCTTTTATTTTCCTGAGATCACCTCTCATCTTTCTTTTCCTTTTTCTTCTCTGGCTTTATATGAGACAAAACATATGACCCTTGACCTTCTGTCTTTGGCTGATTTCCCTTAACATAATGGTTTCAAGTTCCATCCATTTTCCTGAAATTACATTATTTCATTTTTCTTTATGACATAGGTCTGCATGTATCACTATGGTATGATGACTTTAATTCTTCAAGATAAATACCAAGGAGTGGTATAGCTGGATCATATGGTGGTTCCTTATCTAGTCCTTTGAGGACTCTCCTAGTGGTTGTATTACTTTATAATACCACCAACAGTGTAAAGTGTTCTATTTTCTCCACATCCTCTCCAGCATTTATTATTGTTTGTATTCTTTTGTTTTTTTTTTTTTAGAGAGAGAATTTTTTAATATTTTAGTTTTTGGTGGACACAACATCTTTGTTTGTATCTGGTGCTGAGGATCCAACCCGGGCTGCACACATGCCAGGCGAGCGAGCTACCGCTTGAGCCACATCCCCAGCCCCTATTGTTTGTATTCTTGATGACTACCATTCTGATTGGTATGAGATGAAATCTCAGTGTAGTTTTTTTAGGGGGGTGGTACTGGGGATTGCACTCAGAGACACTTAACCACTAAGCCACATCCCCAGCCCTATTTTCTACTTTATTTAGAGACAGGGTCTCACTAATTTGCTTTGAACCTTGCTGTTGCTGAGGCTGGCTTCAAACTCGAGATCCTCCTGTCTCAGCCTCCGGAGCTGCTGGGATCAAAGGCGTCTGCCACTGAGCCGGGCCTCAGTGCAGTTTTGATTTGCATTTCCCTAATTGCTAATGATGTTGAACATTTTTTTCATATACTTGTAGGCCAATTATATTTCTTTTGTGAAGTGTCTATTTCCTTCATTTTCCCATTTATTAATTTGGTTTTTTGGTGTTACATTTTTTTGAGTTCTTTATGTATTTTAGATATTAATCCTCTGTCAGAAGTGTAGCTAGCAAAGATTTTTCTCCCACTCTGTAAGTTCACTCTTCACATTCTTGTTTTTTCTTTCCTGTGAAAAAGCTTTTTAATCTGATTCCATCCCATTTATTAACTCTTGTCATTATTCCCTAAGCTTTAGGGGTCCTATTGAGAAAGTCATTCATTGTCCATGCCTACACATTGGAGTGCTGACTATATATTTTCTTCTAGGAGTTGCCTAGTTTCTAGTATAATTCCTAGGTCTTTGATTCATTTTGAGTTGGCTTTTTGTGTAGGGTGATAGATAAGGGTCTAGTTTCATTCTTCTACATATGGATAACCAGTTTTCCCAGCACCACTTATTAAAGAGGCTGTCTTTTCTCCATTGTATGTTTTTGGCACCTTTTTCAAGGACCAGATGACTGTAGATGTGTGGGGTTGTCTCAGTGTCTTCTATTCTGTACCATAGGTCTATGTGTCTCTTTCTATGCCAGTACAATACAGTTTTTGTTACTATAGCTCTGTAGTGTAATTTAAAGTCAGATACTGTGATACCTCCAGCATTGCTTTTTTGACTTAGACTTGCTTTGACTGTTCTGGGTCTTTTATTGTTCCAAATGAATTTTAAGACTGTATTTTCTAGTTCTGTGAACAATATTATTGGTGTTTTGATGGGGATTGCATTGAATCTGTGTATTGCTTCTAGTATTGGTAGCATGGCCATTTAACAGTATTAATTCTGCCTATCCATGAACGGGGGAGGTCTTTCCATCTTCTAAGATCTTTTTCAATTTCTTTCTTCAGTGTTCTATAGTTTTCATTGTAGAGGTCTTTCACCTCATTGGTTAGATTTATTCCTTTTTTTTTTTAAGCTGTTGTGAATGGGATTCCCCCCCTCCCCGATTTCTTTCTCAGCAGATTCACTGTTGATATATAAGAAAGCTATTGATTTTTTTAAAAAATATTTTTAGTTGTAGGTGGACCCAATGCTTTTATTTATCTATGTGGTGCTGAGTGTTGGAAGCCATGTATGAATCACAGGTTCATTTGAGCCATTACAAGGCGGCAGGGGGGTGGGTGGGGTGGGCTGTGTGTGTGGAGGTTGCTTTTCTGAGAACTCCTGGTGTGAATCTACCTGTTGCTGATTGTTCAGATTACAGCTGACACGTACCTTAGCTCACAGCCCTATGTTCAAATGCAGCCCCCCCCCCCAGGGTGGGGTGAGTGTAACCTCCCTGGCTCCAAACAAGTTGCTTTTCACATCTTTATCCTGTTTTCCTCAAGAAGATTGCCACAGTGAAACCTTTTGATGTATTTCCCTTAAATATAAAATTTGGACCTTCTTCTTTGTTCAGTTCCTGTTCCTATCAGGGCTGGAAGATCCACCAGGCACCCAGCTTTTAAAAAACTGTTTTCTGTCTATTATCTTCTGTTCCTTATTATTTTTAGACTTTCTATTTTCCCTCAAAGCAGAAATCTGCTCTGTCAGGGTGCTGGTAACCCCAGCAGAACCCAGTGCCTCACACGTGCTAGGCAAGTGCTCTACCACTGATCTACGTCCTAGCCATTTATTTATTTATTTATTTGGTACCAGAGGTTGAACTCAGGCACACCTGGCCACTGAGCCACATCCTAGCCCTATTTTGTATTTTACTTAGACAGGGCCTCACTGAGTTGCTTAGTGCCTTGCTGTTGCTGAGGCTGGCTTTGAACTTGGGATCCTCCTGTCTCAGCTTCCCGAATGCTGGAATTACAGGCATGCGCCACCGTGCCCAGCTCAGCTATTGATTTTTGCATGTTGATTTTGTAACCTGCTACTTTGCTGAATTGTTTATTAGCTCTAGCAGTCTTTTGGTGGAGTGTTTTGGATCTTCTAGGTATAGAATGGTATCATTTGCAAACAGGGATAATTTTACTTCTTCATTTTCTATTTTTGTTATTTTTATTTTTTTCTCTTGCCTAATTGCTCTGGCTAGAATTTTTAGTACTATATTAATATAAGTGGAAAGAGTGGACATCTTGTCTTGTTCCAGATTTTAAAGGAAACACTTTCATTTCCCCCCCCATTTACTATGAAATTGACGTGTGTGTGTGTGTGTGTGTGTGTGTGTGTGTGTGTGTGTGTGTCATTTATGGTGTTGAGGTAGGTTCCTACTATTTCTAGTTTTTTCAATGTTTTTATCATGAATGGATGTTGAATTTTCTCAAAAGCTTTCTCTGCATCTATTTAGATGATCAAGTGATTTTTGTTCATAGTTCTATTTATGTGATGAATTACATTTATTGATTTGCATATATTAAACCATCTTTGCATCTCTATCCCCAGCCCTTTTTATGCTTTGTTTTGAGACAATCTTACTAAGTTGCTGAGGTTGGCATTGAACTTGTGATCCTCCTGTCTTGGCCTCCCAAGTAGCTGGGATTATAGGCGTATGCCATTGTACCTGGCCAAGTTTATCATTTTAATCAATTTTTGGTGTACCGTTCAGTAGTTAGTGTATTCATGTTGTCATGAGACAGATCTCTAGATTTTTTTTTTCATTTTGCAAAGCAGTAATTTTGTACTCGTTAAACAACTCCCCTTTCCTTACTCTTCCCAGCCCCTAGTAAACACTATTATTTCTCTCTCTATGAATTGGACAATAGTAGATAGCTCACATAAGAGGAATCAATACAGTATTGTCTTTTTGTGACTGGCTTATTTCACTTGGTATAGTATCCTCAAGGTTCATTGATATTGTAGCATGTGACAGAATTTCCTTCATTTTTAAGGCTGCATATTATTCCATTATATGTATCGACCCATTCAATTATTGATGGATGCTTGTGCCTACTTTGAATTATTTTGGATATTTAAAGTGGAATGTCTGGCCCATGTAGTAATTCTATTTTTGACATGCTGTCATCCCATTTCCCATGACTATTGCATCATTTTCTTGTCCCACTGGTACTGCACCAGGGTTCCAATTTCTCCACATCCTCACCAACACCTGTCGTCCTAATAGGTGTGAAGTGATTCTTTACCTATGGAACGTTTTCATCATTCTCTGAAGCACTTCCTTCCTTTTGGGCACACAGACTGTCTTAGGATCACCTTGTACTTTCCCTGCCCCAGCCTGGGAGTCAACTCTTTCTCCAGGAAACCCTGGTTTCTTTTAGTGGAGATGGTATTTAGGATCCAAAATCTGGGCTGAAAGTGGTAGTGCACACCTGTAATCACAGCTGCTTGGGAGGCTGAGGCAGGAGGATTGCAAGTTCTAAGCCAGCCTCAGCAACTTAGTGAGTCTCTAAGCAACTATCTGGCTCAGGGGTCATGCGCCCTGGGATTCAATGCCCCATGCCCCCCAGTATTTCTGGGTACCTTCTGTATTTCAAGACTCAGACTTGATTCCATTGGGGCTGGGATGACAGATACCTGCTTACATCACTAACCCTCCAAATTAAGAATCATTTCTGATGTGAGCCCATTGTTCCTGAGCCTAGGAGACTCCTCAGCTCTCTGTGACCTCCTCTTCCAGCTCTGCAGTGGGACAAGGACTGTGCTGAACCTCCACAGTGATTTCTCTTGGGACCTCTGGGGTTCCATGTATAGAAAACATCTTCACACACTTGAGGAACGTACTAGAACATAGATTTAGCCTAAGGTTCATCTTGAGAGACAGGACTAAAAAAAAAATGTGCTTAAGGATAACTTCTCTGTTAGTGTCCAGTTTGGCTAGAAATCTCTGTGTCTCTAGCAATGCAGTTTAATGGAAAGACCATAACTTTGAACCCCGAGTTGAGTTCGTAACCCCTGTCCTGCGGGGTTCAAGCAGCTTTTGCCCTGTGTGTAAAATAGGAAAAAAAATACCCACCTTGCAGAATGTTTCAGGGATTGGAGAGATGTGTCAAAAGATGAGGACACCAGCTGGGTGCAGTGGCGCACACCTGTAATCCCAGCGGCTCGGGAGGCTGAGGCAGGAGCATTGAGAGTTCAAAACCAGCTTCAGCAATTTAGTGAGGCCCTAAGCAACTCAGAAAGACCCTTTTTCTAAATAAAAAATTTTAAAAAAGGACTAGGGAGGGCAAGGATTGTAGCTCTGCGGTAGAGCGCTTACCTCACGTGTGTGAAGCATTGGGTTTGAGCCTCAGCACCACATAAAAATAAATAAATAAAGACATTGTGTCCAGCTACAACTAAAAAAAATAATTTTTAGAAAAAAGGGTCCAGGGGGTGCTGGGGATGTGGCTCAAGCGGTAGCGCGCTCGCCTGGCATGCGTGCGGCCCGGGTTCGATCCTCAGCACCACATACCAACAAAGATGTTGTGTCCGCAGAGAACTAAAAAATAAATATTAAAATTCTCTCTCTCTGTCTTTCTAAAATAAAAGGGGGGGGGTGGTCCAGGGATGTGGCTCAGTAGTTAACTCCTCTGAGTTCAATCCCTGGTACCCCCCAAAATAAGTAAATAGATAAATAAAGACAGGAGCACACCGCCTGGTGCACAGTAAACAGCATTCTTCTCTGATGTCACTTTGGGGTAAGTAGATTCACTTAGGCAGTTGCCTGGACTTGGTGGACATGAAATTCAGCAAGTGCAGGAAATGGGGCCAAGTAGTAGCCTGTGTACCAATGATTTGCAGGCTGCAGAGCTGCTTTCTGTCCTTAGTCATCTATACTCATTTCTATATGTTATTTCTTCTTTCCAGTGAACCAGCCACATTTCAGAAATATCATCAAGTGAGCCTGCTTGCAAGATTTAATCAAGATCTGGACAAAGTAGCAACAATTTCCTTGGTGTTCTCTACAGGATCTGTAGTAGGTCCTAAGTACAAGCTCAGGATCCTCCGAATTAGGTTGAGGTCCCTTGTCCATCCAGAGAGGTGAGCCTCAGGCAAGGTTTACCAAAGATTTTATTGGATCCTCGGCTTCTTCAGATATTTTAATGGAACTTCTTCACTCACAGGGAGGGGAATTAGGGGTTTTCCAAAAATAGTCTCCATTTGAAACAAGTTGCTCAGTAATCCAAGAAATTTATACTGGCATGTGCTTAAAGATAAATGGCCCAGTAACCCAAGGAAATAATGGTGTTATATGCTTAGAGTTACATAATTTCCTCCCTAACCACCCGTGTTCCTTGTAGTTGACAGTTTGTTGTAGAAAAGAAATTTTGTATCATTCAGCAGACTGAGAAAACAGAGATGAATATATATAAGGTTAAAGAAAAACTGGATTTTTTCCCCTTTGACAATGTCAATGTTATGTTTGTTAAATTTGATAAATGCATTGAGAATCTCCTTATTCTTAGAAAATACACACAGAAGTGTTAAATATTGAGGAGCAAACAACCTATTATCAACGGGTTCAGAAAAAGTGAATGCATGTGCATAAAGAGAGAGAGAGGATTTTTTTTTTTAAGTACAGGGCTATATTTGTATGTTTTGTGATAAATACCACTCTACCATATGGTCTTAACTTTTAATCTGTGGGCGGAAAAAGAGACAGGCAATGATGTAACCAGTAACTTTTTCTTGAAGGTTAAGGACACCCTAAAGTATTTAATACAAATTTCCTCTAAGAGAATAGTCATTACATCTTAAAATGGTGGGATTTTTTTTTGTACTTTCATAATTTTCAAAGAGATAACATACCCATTTTATAAAATCTGGAAAGTACAGAAAGTGTTAGGAAGCAGAAAAAGATCACTCCTAATGTCATTCAGAGGTAACCGCTGTTAACAGTTTTGGTTATTTCTATCATTGCTTTAAACCTAGTTGAAGTCAGATGGGGATAACATTTTACGTTCTGCTTTCTGGCTGTGGATGTTTTACTTACCAGAAGCGTTTTTCCTATTCCATTAGAAACATCTGCTGCATAATTTTATATCCTAAGGATATAATGCAATTGACTTGACAAGAACGTGGTATTGCTATGATTTTATTGACAAGGGTATTTCTGTCGTGTTTTCCCAGGCCCCAGTTATGTCGGTATGATCTTGTCCTGATGGAAAATGTCCAGACAGTCTTCAAACCTATTCTCTGCCCCAAGTTGCAAATGTAACTGCTGCTGCTGGGGACAGGTGGGCAGCAACGATGTCAGGAAAGCTGCATCTACGGCCTCTTTTAAAGCTTCACCTGAGCTTTTCCTCAAAGCTCAAAAAGCATGAAAAAAACCAAGGTTATTTTCAGCAGCGTCCTACAGATGTCACATTGCAGAACGTCAAACGACCTTGTGATTATAAAACGATCCTGGGAAGGGTGGCCCTAACTAGGGCAAGTCAGAAATAGCCAGCCTTCTGACAGCCCAGTGCTTTGTCTGGCTGCATCCTGGGGCCTGTTTGTTCCGACCTGTCGATTCTGCTGCCCATCACACAGGCTCTTTGTTCCTCAGGGCTTCGGGTACTCATCTTAAGGCTAGGTGGGGGGCTGGAGACCTCACTCTGGACTTTCTGTTCCCTGTGCCGAATTCTGCACAGAACCCATCACGCAGAAGGGAACAAAACTGACCTACCTCTCAGGGCTGCCGTGTGGGTATGGAAGACAAGTCTATGAAGGGTTCTTTGAAATCCTCTGGGTACCACATCTGTGAAGGTGTCATGAATGTGAATATGTTGTTATTTATTTTAACGTGGCTTAGCTCGTATCCTTTGATCATATCCTTTGATAGGGGTGGCCCCTCCTTATCAATACAGCTTCTCTCTGGGGCAGCAAGAAAGCCACATACCCCTGTCCCACCCCCTCTGAAGTGATGCTGGTGCAAAGGAGGTAGAGATGGGCTGGTAGCCTGAGGGCAGTGCTGGGACTAGGGAGGAAGCAGCAGCCTCACACCCCTGGGACAGGGGACCAGCAGGGGAGGAAAGGGCTTGTTTTTCACCTAAGATGGAGAAGGATCATTTTATAGGCAACCCTTCTCTTTTTTTATATATTTATTTTTTTAGTTATAGGTGGATACAATATCTTTATTTTATTTTTATGTGGCGCTGAGGATCAAACCCAGTGCTTCACATGTGCTAGGCGAGCGCTCTACCTCTGAGCCCCAGCCCCAGCCTGGCTACCCTTCTTTTCCTGTTTAGGTTGTTTGTATGTTTGTTTTGGCAGTGCTGGGGGCCATCCCAGAGCTGCACCACGGAACTACACTCCACCCCAGGCAACCCTCTTTCCTTCCTTCCTTCCTTCCTTCCTTCCTTCCTTCCT